TTTTAAAACTTGCTTGCTGTGTGGAGTTATAAAGCACTTGGGGATTGGTAGAACCCTTGTGTTGTGTGGAGAAGATATATATATATATCTCCTATTGCCTATCGCCAAATGCGATGACAAAGTTTTAAGAATTAAGTGTGTACACACACACACCCATGTATACAAGTTGAATACATAAATCAATTTTTTAAGACCTCTGGGCCTTCAGCTCATGCAAATAATTAAGTACGAAAAAAATGAGTTTAGACATTGCAGTACCTTTTACTTGATTTCAAAAGCGTGCCACCTTGTGCAGTCCTCACTCACTCCGCATTTCTTCGTCGACTTCACATTTCAATTAATATTTGATAGACACCAAATTAAACAAAAACGTATGTGTTAAGAAATCTTCGTAAGTTGCGAAAACATTTGAGAAAATCTTAAATCTCAGTGTTGGACACAATGAAAGGGAAATCTTTAATCGCTGATGAATGCGCTATGAAAGCTATCGTATTCTCTTTAAAGTATAATAGAGAACCCACACCGTTAAAAGCTTAATTTTCACAAAAAATGCTATTCACTATAAAGTATAAGTATTTWAAAAAAATATTATTCTGGAAAAGGAAGCCGTCACAGATGCATGCAATTGTTGATATAAAAAATTAACTTGCTATTGGGATTGGAATATAAGGTGAATGTGACGGTAAAAAGCTGAGAATGGGGCTGAACTAAGTGAAAGCACAACAATTGGAATTTAAAATTGATTCGATTCTTAATTGTTGCTGAAAAGGCTTTTCAAAGGAGCATCGATAAAATGTACGTATATAAAAAGACAGAACCCCCGCGAACAAAGACTTTACCACTTTTCCTAAATAGTACAAATTTCTATTCACGTTTGTATTTTAGAATTTAGCTAACCTCTAGCACTAAACAGCTTTGAAATTCAATATGGCTGCTCTTCCAGCAGCAACATCGTTATGAAGCTTTGCTTAATCCCGAAAGTTTGAACTGAGAAAATGGGATGTCGAACTGAGGGGTTTTGCGGTACCTAGCAAGAACGTCGTGCTAGAAGTTCTCTTATTGTCTTTTAAAGCGCTGCATAGCATGAAAAATATAATAACATTATTTCAAAACTCTTTCTCGGAACAGAGTATTAAGAGATTAAGAAACAAATATGAAAAAYACCTATGACCTTTCTCGTACAAACTTCAGTCCGTCAAGTTTTACTAGTCTACCACTTAATCCAACTAGATTTTGTCAAACTAGACAACTTTTAAGTCACGTTCCTTTTATTTTATTTAAGTATCCTTTTCAAGTTATTTAATACTTTGAAAACATCTGGCTAATCATCTGGTTGTCCTTCAAAAATCCTTTCATGTCTGAGCTTTCAAAAGGCTGTGAATAACGTAAATATAGCCGATCTTAAAGTGGCAAATAAGCAGGTATTTGGGATAAATTTGCCTCGTGCTTCCTAATAATAGATAACCAAATATTATATACATCTGTTCTGTAAATATTTGTAGGTATTTTTTAGGTGAATGATACGGTCATTCTATCTTTGTTTTAACTAAAAAGTAAAAATGTTTATGCATCATAAAATGTTGATTTTTTAGTTTTCAAGTATTGTCGTGAATATCTACCTTAAAATACCTTAAGGTCTCTTATAGGTTTAAGAATAACACTATTGTCAGTAAAGAAATCTTCATTCATAGCAAATTTGATATTAGAAATAAAGAATTCTGATCGTGTATGAACTGTAATATTTCAGTAAACTACAAATACTGAATAGCAAAGAGAGATGGTCAGATTTTGCTTAAAGTGGTCAAACATTTTGACTTCGTCTTATTTTCGACCATTTTTTTGTTGTATACGATAATAGCATTGTCTGGGTTGTCAGATGTAAGACACCAGTCAACTAATGGCTCCTTGAAACAAGCCACCAGCACATATTCGAGAACAAGTTTACGCCCCTCATAATAAAAAGGGGAAAATCTATCCTTTGAACAGTTATTAAATCACGTCCCGAAGAACAAAGATTTAGATTCTAGCCTTCGACAAGAACTTTTCCCTCAAGCTCCAAATTTCGGCTTAGCAGAGGTTTACAGCATTTCAAAATCATTTTCAGGTAAGGCCGTGTACAGTTTACTCGACACTATCACCTTAATATTTGTAAACATTTCCATTATATTCCAATTATTATTGATTTTCCCCATAACGGCCTATTCACAAGGACGCAAGTTAATGTGTAGTCTTTATAGAGGTCACTTTACTTAAAGTGAGTTAGATGTATAAAGGAAAAAAGGCTATGCGAAAAAAAATTCATCGACATATGAAACTGAGAGGAAAAATAATTTAACTCGTATTTTTGTAATTTTTATCCTTGTTTGTTGAGTAATTTATCTATTTATTTATTTATTCATTTATCTAGTCAAGAACTTATCAGGTTTAGTAAAAAACACGGTGGGAAACCTCTTTCTTTATTCTTTCCTAAAATTGATGTTCAAATCTGCTGATTGATTTTGCAAACATTTGACCATGGGGGCTGTCAGACGGTTGGCATCTTTGTTGATGAACCGCCTTGTTCGCTTGCACAGATTTATAGTTTTTACAAGAGGCGGATAACAAGAACTCCCTCTGGGGAAAAGAAACGCCTAACGTACTATRATTTTTAAAGAGATTTTGAGAGGCCGACGATAAGAAAAAAGGAGTTGAATAATAGGCAAAACTTTAAGAATTTTGTAAATAGATTTTGGGTTTTGTCGATTGCTATATTTCTTATTCTCTTGACCGACAATCCTAAGAATATTATAGATATAAATGTCATACAAACATCGTAGATTTGTCAATTTTCAACTTATTTTTCTGGGCTGATAATGAATATCT